AATTTCGATAATTAGTTCCGTGTTTAGCAATACAAAATATTCATTTCGGCCATGTCTGTGTGCAAGCGTCTCCTTCGTGTCATCTTTCTAGCAACGCAGTAAAGTCTCTCCAAGTTATAACGCAGAGAACCATTGTCAATCCGTTGCAGCTTTCTCCAAGCCCTATATTGATGCGTTCTTTTCATCACAATGTTCTCTACGTCTTTTTCATCACATCTTCATTTAACGAGCGAACTAAAAATCTAAGAATTTACCATTTACGCCATCCTATAGAGCAGAAAAAATTCTTTTAAATAAAATTTCTATAAACGTTCTAACGTCCTGTATTTTTTGGGGGAGGACGAATTTTTGAAATTGCTGGAATTTGCTGACTATTTGTCATTTATTATTTAAAATTTCAACAGCTGAAAAATGCATCGGTTAGAAAAATTTGAAATTTGCATCACAAACTTTCACCTTCTTTTAAAACACATAGGATTAAAAATATTCATTGGACTATTTACGAGCCCAGTGAATAGTAATATGAGCGGAATAATATATGCTTTAAAAATATGATGCAATGATGAACAGAAGCGAAACTACTTCTTTATCCTTCGGCATTGCTGAGAAATACAAATTCAATGTTATACTACTGAGCCAAAATGAAATCTTCTGTGCCATTTGCACCATCGGATAGAGCGGAGAAACTTTTAATGTGGTTTATATAAAGTTTTACCATAATCTCTGTTTTTCCTTAAAATCAATGGATAGATTTCCATTATTTGATGTAAGATAATTGTTGGAAATAAAAGAATTTTTATACATTGTTGAAAGTTTATTTTTCAGTTGAATAATTTGATTGACAACATGGTATTGAGACTAAAAAGATAACAATAAAAAAGTTATAAAATAAGAAATGCTACTCGATTGCTAAATTTCGTTACTTTCACACTCACTCTTTTATTACTCGTGATATAACGCTGTCAATGAATTTTGTAGAAAGAGTTATTTAATCTCTTGTTCCCATATAATTTTTGTCACTTCTAGTTCGTTTACAGTGTTATGAGTTTTAAAAAAACGCTTATCTTATTAAAAAAATTATTTTTTTAGCCCAAAGGGGCAATTTGCCCAGAAGGGGGACATTGCGTCGCCAACTATGAAACGGCGTTTCACTTTTCAAATACAGCCCTGCATTATATTAAAAAAATTAAACGATAAAGAATCTGTATGAATGCATATATGTTTCTCGCACTGTGAAAACACAACGGTAACTAGGGACATCCAGTTTTGAATAATGTAGTCCTCCTCTCGAATATTCGCATCTGAAAGCCTAAATTTTTATTATCAATTTCCTATTTCGTAAAATTTCAACGAATTTTTGATTGACAAAATAATTTCAAAGCGAGCAATGGCAATACTGAGCGCCGCCTGAGATAACCACTGACCTGACTTTGTTGTAAAAGTCTTACAGTGTTAGTAGTCATCCTGGCAGAAGGGAAAATTTCCTCCGTGTAAGAATATACATATAAATATTACATGGGCATACAAGGCCTGTGAATAAGCATAGATATGTTGATTACAATCATTGTCTTGTACAAGTTACATATGATAGATACATGAAATCATGACAGCTATGTGTACATTTAGACATTATATGAATTCATATTTACAATACCTTTACTGAGATAATCAAAATTAAACTTGTAATTCATTTACACATTGACTGGATTTTCAATATCATTTAAACTGCTTTACAATATTATTTTTATCAAGTACATATAAATTGGATAGTAATATGCTTACATTACAATAGTTTTGCTCTTACAGTCCGTCCTGTTATTATTCTACGGGGTGAGCTATTTTCCTAGTGTTGATGTTCAGTTGTTGTAGTATTTTTGAATTGCTATTAAAATTATGCTGCGAAGATACAGTTTCTCAAGAGAGGGGGAGAATTTCTTAGAATCTTGCTGAGCAAAGCCTGATTACCTCCTCTATTTTAGTTTTCGTCTGTTTGTTGCCGCGGGTATTCTCCGCCCATTGCGGCCAGTATTCACTGCTTGGCATTTTTAAATGCAAGTTTATCGGTTTTGTGGGCAGTTGAAAGAGGAAGTGATCTGCATCACCTACCGCACCACATTCACACAAATCTGATGCTCGTATGCCGAATCTCTTAAGGTAATGTGGGAAGGGACCATGGCCAGTGTAGAATTGTGTTTGTACTCCGCTGTATGTATTAACTGAGCACGTGACTTTTGGAAAGAACTTCTAGGTTCGCGATTTTTTTTTTATCTGAAGCTCGAGACTGTGTATCGGAAATGCTAAAAATATGCTCTTTTTAAATATTTCGTGATATTGCTGTTGAATTGAATTTTATGATTTAGGTGCCAAGAACATGATATTTAATAAATGAAGGTAACACACAAAACTTTAATAAAATTATCAGGACTTAATGTTCTGTGCATACTTTTGGCAAACATAATGGTGCTAGTATCAATGTCCTGACCTCGAACAGTGAGCTGAATGCAGCTATGTTCTTAAGAATGCTAGAAGAATTACAAAGTAAGAAGGGTGTAAAAGACCCTTTTATTGGAATCACTATTTACAGCAACTCCCAACTCGGGAGTGATAACAGAACAAATAATAATCGCGCTTGGGTCTTGAACAATCAAGCAAGTTAAAAGTAAAACTTCAGTAGACATTTAAATAGTTGCTGTCACAGAGCTTAAACGCGAGATTGGCCTATTTATGGTGCGTAGCAAGCCTTTGCTAAGTACTAACGCACTTAAATCACTTCCATCAGTATTTGAGGAACAGCACTAAGGCGTAAGAACTTGAATAAACTATTCTGGCGAACGTCCACCGAGCCGACGTGGTCTGAGACTAAAAGCTCTCTCACAATTGAGAAGTTTCTCACTAACCTTGAATACAACTTGGCTCCAAACCAAATTAGCATAAAGCTGAACCGTGCGCTCATTCTGAAGGGAAGTTGAAATAAGAGTTCACAGGAAAGGATAACTTAAAATAAAAAGAAACTTAGTTAGTTTAACATAAAACCTTACAAAATGACCATTTGAGCTTAATATAAAATCTGGAAACTTTCAGATTTTTTGTATTTTTTAATTATATTATTCTAGTAATAACTTTCTTGGACACAATAGCTTTCAAAACCATACAGTACTTGGGTAAGAAAGCAAATGTTGCGTTTAGACGTTATCAGAGTGCAGCCTTTCTAATCCATCTTGATAAAAAGCAGAAATAATTAACTCCAATACTCACTATTAACGATATACACTAACAGCTATTAACTAATAGCTGTTTCGTTTCCTGTGATTTTGGAAATTTCACTATGTCTGTCTCTGTACTCGAACAAAGAGAGCTAAAATTCCTGCCTTCCTTAAAAAAAAAAAAAAAAAAAAAAAAAAAAAAAAAATTCATAGCATACCTATCGTAGCGCCACCACATAGTAAACAGATTTTTTGAATTTTGAGAAAGATAACTTTGAAAACGCAAAATTTTAAATTTGCTTCATCCGGATTGGATTAAATTGCAATGGAACAAAGAGAAAAAAGCTAAATTCAACCTGATTTTTTAAGCTAAAATCTTACAACATGCAAATAGTTTCTTAAATTCAATACTTTAAAAAATCCAAGAGCTTTTCAAGAACATAGATTCAAAATTCAAGAACATAAATAGACAATCAGAGGTCTTGAATTTCGTAGTAAAAAGTACAACTATGAATACTCCGAGCTTTGCATTTTTGTTAACCATTTTATAAAAATGTTTTGCAAATTATGCCTAAGCTCGTGTAAATTGATATTGCAAATTCATGTGTTAAATTGAAGAACTACAACATTGATCAAATTCTTGTTATGTATTCTATTATTTTCATTTAATTTTATGTTAACTTTGTAGAGTCATTAGGAAATTATTTTTTGATGTAGGAAACACGAAAAATGTGCAATTCTCTCACTGGAACTCGAACGTGGGCCTTTCCAATATACGCCAAGTGTGCCACCGTCACATCACGAAGGCATGCAGAAAAGGAGGGAGAAAATAGCTTGTATACTCTCTCTTTTAAAGGGCGACTGGGGATTAGGGGACCAGTCGCCAAATCCTGCGGGGTGAAGAATCAGCATCCACCATCTATTAGTTCGGGCGCTATAGTAGAATCATTAGAATTTTTTTCCGATCTCAGGAAACTGAATAAATGTGCAATGCCGTCGCTGGAATACAAATCTGGATCTCCCGAATACGCGCCGAGTGTGGTATTGTTACACCAATAAGGCATGGAGAAAGGAGACTGAAATTACCTACAAATTATTGAATTCAAACTTAAAACAGGTATAAAGAGGCAAATGAGGAATTATTGTACATTTAAATAACACTTAGGTTATTTTACTAATTTTAAAATGCAAAATAATTGTCAATTCTACGTGGTTAATAATATCAAGGCTAAAGTCACAGTTTGAACTGATGCACTTGAACTTGAGCTAAAACAGTTTACCTTAGTCTGGTTCAAGAGTAATTTAGTTTAGATCTCCGGTTTAATATTTCCTTTCATACGGCATAGACATATTTCAGATGAAAACGCCAAAGTCTGTGCTGTAAAAGAATAATATGGATAAATCTTACGTAGAAAATACTTTCCGGAAGAATTTATAATAAAAACCAAACAAATATTTGAAATTTATCTTCTCCATTTAAGCTAAATTTTGAACAAGTATGATTATTACTTGATGCTAATTATCAGGTTTAGTGGCAACGCTTAATTATTGATTTTTTAGTATATATTATTATTTTATGTCTGTTTGTGAATAGAAAGAAAACCTGAATTTTTTTGTCATTCAAGCATTTGTAATATTCTAAAGATTTTAGTCGGAACAGTACTTTATCAAAATTGACTATGATTGTGCATGTTTCCGATACGATTTCTTCCAACTTATGGCTCGTATTATATTTTAGAAATGATTGAGAGCAAGGGCAAGTGGACTATTTAGATCTTTTTCTGAGGCAGTTACCACGTCAATCCTCAAGATGGCGGATTCGCAGGACAGCATATTAGACTCGGTCTTGCATGGAAATCTGACGAGTATACCTGAGCCGCCTTCCAGGGTTGTGAAGATAATGATCGTGTCATCAAAAACAGGTGAGCATCCAACGTAAATTGAGATTTAGGCTTACGTACAAATATGACTTTATTATGTATTCTCACGCTTGGTTAGATAAAAAACTAATGATTTCACATAAAAGTTTCACATTTCAGAAATCAAATTTTAAATAGAAACCTATTAATAAGTGAAACTATTTTTTTTACAAAATACAATTTCCGAATATAAACCGATTTGTACATACGTTGAGATGGAAGAAGTTTCTGCAAAAAATCAGCCCAAACTGAAAGCCTGTGTATATAAGCAGAAATTTAAAATTGCTCTATAAATCTGGTGCAAAGACATAAAAGCTCAAATAACTTACAGGTTGATTTAGCTAGATATAAAAGACGAGCTGTCTGTGAATGCCATGTCCCATTCATTCCAACAAATAAGCTGGAAATGAACGTTTGATGGTTCAAAAAACTGTTGCATCAGGAAAGCTACGGACAGAACTAAAAATGATGCTAATAATGAAATACACAGGCTGTTCGCACATTTTTTATACGATTTTGTTTCGATATAAAAATTCGTCTGCCTAATGTTTTTCTAAATGCAACTGCATTTTTGAAGGCATAAATAACCGTCTCTTAGTTGACAGTTTTGTTTTCATGCAAAATGGCGCTTTTAAAGAAGCAATAGAAGGAAGGCTACGTTTGTGCTCTTTCCCCCCCAAAAAAAAATTATTAAAAAAATTTTAGTTATTAGTTATTAGTTTATTTTAGTTATTAACCTAGTTATATAAATTAAAAAAAAACTAGTTACTAAAAAACGCTTTGAAAGCCATGATGTTTCGATATATAAAGCTACGATAGGTAATATTAGCAACAAGAAAGTAAAACAACGTCAACGTTTGGCTTCGTGTGGAAAAATTATTTCAAATGCATATAAAAAAAAAATAAATAAAAAAAAAAAAAAAAAAGGAATGTTTAGAATGCTGTAGAGGTAAGATTTGTAATCTTAAAAGAAAATCCACCAATTCAAAGGACAGTTGCAAAATCCTAAAAATACTGAGTGTCAGCCGCAAAGTGGTTAATGCTGATTTAAATCTTAAAAAAAAAACAAAAAAAAACATAATACGAATATGTTCGTCTTTCTCCACGACACAACGCCGAACGCAGAGCGCGCTGCAGAATTCTTTATGTGAAACATATATCCGAACGGAAGTGGATAAATGTTTTCACAATAGATGAATTTGGGGTGTATTTAAATGACTTAAAAAAATAGATTCCTTTATTACTATCATAGGGGAGATAAAAATCTTAAAACTTGGTTCAAAGAATCTAAAGAAAGTTTTTCAAGGAGATTTATGATTGTTGTTGATTTTTCATATAACGGCAGAATTTAAAATTAAGAGAGTGAGGGAATATATTAAGATCAACTCCATATATTATCAAGAACATATTTCATACCCGCATTGTAAATATGAAATACCTACTCTTCACGCACAGAGCCATCAATTAATAGAACTTCATCAAGATAAAGCAAGTAGCCACACATGAAATTCCGCTGTTAAATTCCTCTAAAAAATGGAACAAAAAATGGGCATTAAAGCTATACATCCACTGATATCCCTACTAAATTTCTTGATGTATTACTCATGGAGTTTTGCGCTTTTGGAATTTTAAAAATTGCCTGACCAAACGTCGACCTCCTTGGACTTTGGAAAGTGTCCAAGAGGAATGGGATAAAATATATTTTTCTATAGTACAAAAGGCTTCACTGTCTTGGAAATCACGGTGTGAAAAAATAGTCAGGATTAAGGTTTATCACACAGAACATTTGAAAGACAAAATATTTCTGTAAACACTATGAACATCGGCTAAAAAATGTGCGAACATTCTATATAAAGGACGATGCCATTTAAAAATTAACGAAACTTCTATACTTATTCCACCTTCATTAATAACTAAGGCGTTTCCGCCTCTGAGTTATGGATTTACTATTTTATTCATCAATCAATGATTTGTTACTTTTTCACACTCGTAGGTGCAATGAAAAATTTCCGATTTTCGTTACAGATTATTACTGCAACATATATTATACATTAACCGCTATGTGGCCAGTTTGTCTGGCTTTTAAATGTACCAGAAAAATGCCTAAAGGGAACACCAAACATTAAATTTAAAAACTGCACAGAATTTTGCTCTGAAGAACAACTTTATCAAAAAAAATTTCAGTAAAAATATATGGCATATAAAAACATTACAATGAAATAAGCAATATCCCTTAATACAAAAATTAATTATCCGAATAAATAAATTAACCATCTTCCCGTTGCCTTCTCTCGACAAACGTCTAGTATCCAAGAGAAACATTAAATTTAAACACTGCATAGAATTATCGCCCTTATTTTTCCGAGCGGCTACAGTGCTGATACCAGCAAAAATGGCAACAGACATATATCATCAACAATGGCTGCGTGCCAATGTTGCTGATATAATGAGACATAATTATCGATTTGATGCGATTTCATCAAAAAACATAAAAAAAAAAAAAAAAAAAAAAACTTATTCGAATTTTGCAAAACTCGCTTCGAGGTGCACTGGCACATGTCTAGATGCACCTACATACCAAATTTCGGAGCCAGGGATCTGTTAGCTTACGCGCAACACGAACGAAAAACACACGCACAGATAGACAGACTCTTCTTTTTATTATATACTAGCAGCTTCGCTGCCAGCCTTCGTCTGGCTTTTAAATGTACCGGGAAAATGACTGAGGGAACACCATACGTTAAATTTAAAAACTGCGTAGAATTTTACTCTGCAGAACAACTTCATAAAAAAATATTATCTATAACAAAATTATGATGAAATAAGCAATATTTCTTAATACAAATAAATTAACCAACTTCCCTTTGCAAAATCTTAAGAACTCAAATGGTATAAAAGAGGTTAAGAACTTTGTTTCCTAAAAAAATCACTCAAAACTTTTCAATATCTTAAACACAGTGAAATGTGCAATAAATAACATAAAAGAATACAAAAAATTCTGAAAAGCAAAGTATAATTATTGATATTTTATCTTATATTTTCAAGACAAAAAATATTGCAATGAAAAAAGCTATATTCCTTAATACAAATATTAATAATCCTAATAAAAAAATTAACGAATTTTCCGTTGAAGAAAAACAAAATCATGCAAAACTTTTCAATATCTTACAAATAGTGAAATAAGCAAAAAATAACATGAAAGAAACTCAAAATGCAATAAATTCCGCGCAGAATTTTACTCTGCAGAACAACTTTATCAAAAAAAAAAAAAAAAAAAATGTTTATATATATAAAAAATGGCAATGAAATATGCCAATCTCTTAAAAACAGTGACATAAGAAATGCGATGGAAAATTGTTTCCAAACCCATATTTTTAAAAGAATGAAACTATTCAAAATGATGCGATTTCATCAAAAACTATCAACAACAATAAGAAAGGAAAATTGCTGTCAAAATCACATTGTTAAGGATGTGAGATGTGAGAAGTGTACTCGGAAGCTTCATTTATTTTTTTTTTTAAATACAAAATATTATCATTTTTCCAAAATTCTTTTTGTAAAAGCAGTCGCAAGGATGAAAGTTTAACGTGTCCAAAAATCAAAGAAAAATAAACTGTACATTTTTTAAATAAACTTTTTTAGAAAAAATCTCGTTGAAATGTATTAAGCTTACTTTGTTAAATAAATTCGTATTGAATCAATTTATTGAAACACGAAATTTATTTTAAGTTCGTAAAATAGCTAAGTGCCTACGTTTCATGACGATGTGAAAATGGAGTGTGTAGAGTAAAATCTCACTTTCCTATAGCCCATTAGGTCTCAAAATGGCGCGATTTCGTCCCAAAACATAAAATAAAAAAAAATTCGAATTTCGAAAAAATCGCTTCGACGTGGACTGGCTCTTGTCTAGATGCACCTGTATACCAAATTTCGTAGCCGTAGGTCTATTAGCTTCCGCGCAGCGCGAACGAAAGACACACACACACTGACACACAGACAAACACTTTCTTAGAGAATAGAGCATTTTATGAATTGTAAGTAACTTTTCACATTATTCTAAGTTCCAACATTATTTAGCTTCAGTGTGCTTTTTTGTATGAAAAACGACATTGGGTAATAGTGTAAAAGATTTGTCCTGAATTGATTGAAAATTCTCATATTTAAATTGGCATGTTTTGTAACATTTATCGTTAAATTTCAATTGCCTTGTCAATATTAATCTAGGATTTCTTAATTTTAAACAAAATTGTGTAAACCAATAATCTGGAATGTAACATTTATCTTGATGGTTTTTAAGTGATTGCGAAAGCAGAGTGTTAAAATACTGAATGCGGTTATAATTCATTTAATGCGAGTTTGATAAGAGGAAAATTATACGTTTTATTTTAGTTCTTTGGACAGAAGAAATATATTTATCTATGTTTATATTTAATAATGCAGAAAATTCATTTTCTTGAATGGTCCAAAAATGAAACAGCTAAACATTTGTGGTTCGGCCCGAGTTCAAATTCGGTGAATAAGTTTCCCCTGCATGGAAGTTTTCGTCTTTTTTTTTTTTTGTGGCAATGCTAACTCAAAGGTTTACAAAATTTCATTTTCTTTCGGAGTCGATTTCAAACTAAGAACTTCAATAATCCTCGAGGAAGGATATAAAGAAGGTCTTTCTACTTTCTACAGAAGAAAATAATTTATGTAAATAAATTGTGACAGCACCTCATCTACAAGAATGAGTCTTACGAAGTTGAAAACCATAGTTCATGTACGTTGAATGTATGACAAATTTATTTACTCTGGTGTTGTGAAGAAAATTATTTCTATGCAATCATACGCCCTTCTGGAAATAATGGAGTAAATTGAATGAAATTCACCGTTATTCCTACAATGTGCACTGTGTGAAAGCAAAAGAAAAGTATCATGTTAGGTATTGAATAAACAATAGGTAGAATTTATTTCACCAATCAGATTCAAACGTATAAAATTATTCAGAGAGACAGTTTTGGAAC